GATTGTTGTTATGTGCCGTCGAGTCGCCTGCGACTCATAGTGACCCTATGTACAACAGCCCTAAACTTCGCTCTGTCCTGTGCCAATCGCACTGTCTCTGACACTCCCATCCTGATTACCCCTGTCACTGAATCAATCCACCTCATAGAGGGCCTTGCAGGGGTAAATCATATACATAAAAGACAGGCCCTCCCCACTAAGAGAGGCCAAATGCTAGTTTAACAAACCAGTTAGTCCTCCCAGCAGGCCTGCCCAAGAAGAGGCATTGGAGGCCGAAAACGGATCAGCATATTCAACACCGGAAGTACAACTCTGAAGAAGATAAAAACGTGTTGCAAATAACTGGCAGTCTAGAGGCAATTGCAAAATGACGAGAGCTCAAGAAAGGGGCCAAATAAGGTTAGTGAGAAAGGAAACATCCAGTTCTAAGAGTGTTTCCAGGGTCAGGCTGAGATGTTTTCGTTTAATATGGCTGCCGTTCTCTCCTGATCAAAAGAATGCTATAAAAAGTAGTGTGTATGGAAACTATTTTGGAATGCTTACAGATTAGAGGGGAAATAGTACAGATGTAGAACAATTCGGACATTGGCACCAACCTATGGAGTAGGTGATAATTCCTAAGTTAGGGTGACTGGGAAATGGGGAAGAAGGATGGAATTGCCAATGGAAAAACAGATGTTTAGTTACTGAAGCATGAGTAATTCTGGTGGTTTCAAGCCACCAGCAGCTCTGGAGGAGAAAGATGGCCGTTTCCTCCCGACTTACAGCCTCCAAAAACCCCCTGGAGGGTCAGCTATGCATTGGTTCCGACTCTGCTAATGAGTAAGTGAATTTAACTGCAGTCCAATTGGAAAAGAGTTATTATTATTAGAATTCTGTATTGAGCTATTTACTCAATTCCTCTCCTGTACATCCCATTAATGTTAATTGCTGGCACATTTTAATCTTTCACAATTGTATGAGAACTGTAAAGACTAGGTTAATGAGTCAAGATCCAGGTCCTTTTTATACGAATCTCTAACATACTTTATAATTCTACACAGTTCTATATTTAAAAAAAAAAAACACTTGTCTTGCTAAACACAGACTTTATGAAAATGGTAAGCATCCATATTTTTGTAACATACTAAAATCAGTATTCTTGTTTGAGAATCTGAGCCCATGTAGAGTATTTTATAAATCAGAAGTAAATTTTTGCCTTTGCCTTCAAGTGAGCAAGTCCTAAAATTTTCATATGTAAATGATCAGTGTATAAATAATTCCAAAAAATTCACTACTTTTGTCAGGCCAAATCCATGACCAGCCACAGACTGGATAGTATTGAATTATTGGGACATAGGAGATTGTAAACTACCAGACCCTTATGTACTCGAATTAAGTCTGTGTTGTAAGTCTGTGTGTGTATTCTCACAGGAGGCTGTAAAATGTGGGCATGCTTTCAATTCACTGCAGTCTGTGATTTATGGAGGCACGTAGGTCAGGAGTTTATTATGCTGAAAATCATAATAACTGTTTTGTTTTGCTTTTTAAAATGAAGTGACCGAAGCATGTTGAAAGATAAATGGGTGAAGCATTTTGATTATGCTTTAATTTCTATTAAACATTAAATATTATTGCAGAGTAACCAGCCATGCTAAGTATTATGGTATTAAAACTGAAGTAGTTTGTAAGCTGATAGCCCTTCCTTTCCTCTGGGTTTTGGTTTGTTATTAATCAAAATGTTGGACTTGTTTAGTGTAGTCGTGTATGAAACAAATAGTTGAAAAAGACAGCTACTTTAATTTATGGTTTTCTCTTCTCTATCCCCACCCCCCCCCATTTGTAAGAAAATGTGTTTCTTCTTTGGACTTTATGCTGTTGTTCACTTGTCTAGATTTCGTTTCTTGTACCTAAGCCAGTTACATCCAACAGTTGCAGAGTCTCTCCTGGCACAGAAAGAAGTAAGGTGCCTTTTTTTTCTGGTTTGCATTTTTCCTTTAAAAAAACTGTAGTGAAAATATATGCACCCAAACAGTCTACCACCGCAGTTTCCACATTTACAATGCAATGGCATTGATTACATTCTTCATGTTTTGCCACCATTATGCCTTTTTATGGTTTTAATTGACCAATTCTGGAAAAATTGTTTTTGGAACATGTGCAGCCCCTACTAGAAATAGATAGCAAGGAGAGAAAAAAAAACCCACCATTTTTATTTTTTAATTGAGAAGAGCACAGTGTTTGAAGTAGAAGAATGTGTGAATTAGAAGACCTAAATAAGCTAACTAAGGAGATACTTCCTAGTCATACACTGCTACATGTTGTGGTTCTGGTTGTTATATGCCATCCAGTTGGTACTCATAGCTGATTTCTAGCTGGTTTTCAGAGGCTGTAAATTACATGGAAGGAAATTGCCCATCTTTTTCCCACAGAGCAGTTTGTGGATTTGAACTATCTGCTTTTTGGGTTGGCAGTGCAACTCTTTACCTACAAAGCCACCTGTGCCCTTTAAAAAATTTATTCAGTACTCATGCATAGGAGTGTATCACTTTTGATAAGAAACTCTTATGTAGGAATATTAAATAAATCTTTTAAAGGACATAGGATTCCAGTGACTTACTGTCTTAAATGTCAGCACAAGCCCTTAGGAAAGCTGTTACCCACGTAGTGATGCTCACTGTAGCGCTTGGGTTCTGTATAAGTCTAAGGCAATCTTTAAATTTGTTAAAGGTGATATATTTATAAAAACTTTACAAAGAGTACACTTCATGAGGAATGTAGCACATATTGTAAAAGTGTTGAAGAGAGGACCATAATCACTATCTGAAACAAAAGACTTGATTGGTTATTTATTTACGTAAAGAAGATCTGTGATCTCCAGGCAAAAAGTCTGCAGATTTGGAGTGTTGGGCTTAGGAATTGTTTAGAGGCTGACATCAGCCTGAGGTGGAGAGGTTGTTGTTGATTGACTGACATTCAGAAGCTTGGTCACTGAAGGGAGTCAGCCTCTGATTGGCCAGCTTTCAAATGCATGAGGCTTTCCCTGACTATTTGGCTTTCAGAGGTATATGCGTTGGACTGGTTTGTCATTTATCTTGTAGACCAAGGCAAGTCATCAGTAATTGACTGAATTTTATTTCCTTCTGTCCTGCTGTTCTGGTTGGTTTTTGTTAACCATGGCTTTGAGACAATCAGCCTTTTTCTAAGAGTTGGGGAATGTTTCGTTCTCAGAAGCTATTGCTTTACCATTGTAGGAAAATGAAAGCGCGCGAAAAGCAAACTATCAGGGAGTCTTATCTAAATAAGTAATTATTGTATGATGCATTTTCTAAATCAAGTGTTCGGTAAAGCAATGCTGGTGTAAAAAGTACTTCTTGCATGTGATGTTGCAGATCTCCATGTACTGATTCCATTTGTGAACTTTGATGCAAACAGTGTGTTATTAATATTATAGAAATGGGAATGAGATTTCCCTCAGAAGGTTCAAGTCCATTCTGGGTAATTCGTATGGTAATGCATATACTTTGTATTCATTGCATTCCATAAACTTTCCAGAGTGATAAAAAGGGATGGAAATGGTACATATCTTCTACATGTTAGTCAAGATGAACACCAGCTCTTAGTAGTTATAATATCACTAATAATGTAACATTTCAGTTGTCTATCAAAATCTCTGTTAGAATTCTTTAAAATTTGAGTATGCTTACAAGAGTTTATCCCACGGTAAAACTTATTCATCACTTGTGCTAGTGTTTCAATAGGGAAAAGTAAATTAATGTCATGTTTAGTTTCCTCTGAAAGCCATTACTGACCTTCGAGCGGGTTTTAAGAAGTAGATTGCAGGAGAGGAGATTGCCCATCTTTCTTGCAGGGAGCAGCTGGTGGATTCTTACCACTAGAGCGTTCATTCTACAAAAGAGTTCTGGCAGCCTAGTGGTTAGAAGCTGCAGTCCAAGGGCATGCGATTCCCGTCCACCAGGTGCTCCACAGGAGCAGGGAGATCATTCCTCTCCCATGCAGTGCATTGCCTTTCAAAATCTTCTGGAGGGTCCGCTATGGATCGATTCCAATTCAATGGGTCACAACAACATATCCTACAAGAAGTGTACTCGTAGCTGCTGTGACAGAAAAGTTCTGGGCTTGCCCATAAAATACATTTTTAAATAACTAATGGGAGAAAGTCTTAATATTTTTTTTTAAGTCTTAATATTTTTGTTTTGTTGACTTGTACGGGAAAAAAGTTTTCTCTCTAAGCTCATTTTACTGCCCTGAAATTGCTCTTTTAACTTCTCTTATTTATCCTGACACCTCTAAGCAGAGCACAGCTAACCACTTACGTATTTCACTGCTGCTCGGATAGCCAACTGCTGGCTACTTAGGATTCAAGCACGTGTTGATACCTTAAGACCAGTAAGAGGTTGATACAGTAGGAAGAGCAGGATGGCTGGATTTGTTGTAGTCAACAATGAGAGGAGCAAATTCATCGCTGGGATCCAAAAGCTTGGTTTCCTGGTGTGTGGAGGGGGAGAGTATGGAAAGCCCAGGTACTTCCCAGAGAGAGGAATCATAAAACCATTTGAGCCTCATGTTTAAAGTGCATTAAAATATTCCCTACTTTTGATCTATTTTCATACTGGAGGAAAAATTCCAAATAGGATTGGTCTATTCTAGCTAAGTGACTATGCCCTTGGAAAAAAAGCTGTGTGTTCTGTTGTGTATTTCAGGGAACACTTCTAGGTGGAACTTCTTAAACCTCTATTTCGGGTCAGAACTCCAAGTGAATACTGAGGCATAGTGGTTCAGTACTACAAATAAAAACCAGCAGAACTCTAGACATGTTTTTCAAATTTCAGTGTTTTCTGAGGAGTTGGTTTCCATGTGATTTCAGCACCAGTAAGCATAAGCCCATCTAGGTTTACCTTTATCATTGCAATTTATTATGCCAAGGATAATGTGACGTAGAATGTGTGTACTTAGTTCTTATGACAAGATCACAGACCCATCTCTCTCTCCTCCTATAGGATGTCACATGTACTTCAGTTTGAGGATAAAAGCAGAAAGGTGAAAGATGCAAGCATGCAAGACTCAGACACGTTTGAAATCTATGATCCTCGGAATCCAGTGAATAAAAGACGACGAGAAGAAAGCAAAAAGCTCATGAGGGAGAAGAAAGAAAGAAGATAAGTAAGAGAGTCACAGCCACCAGAACTAGCTGGAAACATGCTTGTAAGAAATGGCTTTATAATAACCATTGTTCCAAACAGCATCACTTAAGGGTGTGGAGAGCAGTATTTTTGAACCTATTGTCTGGTTTTGAGAAACAATTATCTTGTTCTGTAAATTGTAGAATGACATAAGCAAATGCTTTCGGTTCCTGGTTCATGCTCTTTTTCCTAATAGACCCTTTCTATTGTTATATCTAAAATAAAATCACTTTACTTCCAGTTAACGTGTTACTATTCTCAGGCTGTACAAGCCTGTTGGTGTCTTTTTTTTTTTAACTCTAGAGATATGAATCCTTCCTGTTCAACTTTTATAAGCTCTTTAGAAAGAATTTAAGGGAACTCTTCCTAACATTCTGGTACCATAGTGCTAGCCTAAGTATAATAAAAATTATGTAGCATGAAAATTGATTATTTTGTTCTGTTTTGCATAAAAATATCTGAGCCCAGCCAAACCAGGAAGATTCAATAACTATATGCCTTAAATCTTAAGGAACCTCAAGTACAGTATAGCACCTTCATATAGGACAGCACCCTGCTTTTCTAGATGCACATTAGATACTCCAGTAATGCCACCTCACTCACTGCACAGCCTGCTTCGTATCAGGTCACCTGCCTTTCTCAACCAGCAAGAGACTTTGTAGAGAGTCCCTTTAGCACCCAGTAAGAATTTAGCCTGTTATGACACTCATTCAAATTGATTGCTTACTATATATTATTTGCATATAGACAAATTACTCTAAAATCTGAATGCAAAAATTGCACCACAGGCTAATTTTAAGTTACCTCACAAACTTGCCCTGTTGCATCTTTTCATATAATATATCATCATTTGTTTCATTCAGAACTAATAGGCTTTCTCTAGAATACGGGGTAGTCCCAGATGCATCAGCCACAGCATCCCCTGTGGACATGTTAGAAATGTAGTTTTTGCCCACCCTTGACTGAATCAGAAACTCTAAACTTGTTAAAGAATTCTGGGCCTCACTATTGGTGGTGCAGATCTAGTGCAGGATCCCTAGGGGCACAGTGGTTGAGAACCCATCTGCTAACCAGAAGACGTTGTTGTTGTTGTGTGTTGTTGTATTGTTAGTCACCTGCAACTCATAGCAACCCTATGTACAACAACCCTAAACCCTGCTCTATCCTATGCCAGTCTTATTGTCTCTGACACACCTACACCCAATACCCCAGTCACTGAATCAATCCATCTCATCAAGGGTCTTCCTCTCCTGTGCTGTCCCTCCACACTCCCAAACATGATGTCCCTCTCCAAGGACTGGTCCCACCTTGCAGCATGTCCAAAGTATGTCAGACGAAGGTTCAGAATCCTTACCTTCAAAGAGCAGCCTGGTCTCACCCTCTGTAGGACAAACCTGTTTGTTCTCCTAGCAGCCCATGGTATATTCAATACTCTTCTCCAATACCAAAGCTCAAAGGCATCAATTCTCCTTCTATCATCCCTAGTCATTGTCCAGCTCTCTGATGCAGAGCAAGTAATTGCAAACACTATGGCTTATATCAGGTGCACTCTAGTCTCCACAATGACATCATTGCTCTTCAGTACTTTGGAGAGGTGTCTGACAGCAGATTTTCCCAATGCAATTCATCTTTTAATTTCCTGGCTGCTAGTACCACGAGTGTTGATTGTGGAGCCAAGCAAACGAAAGCTGTTAACAATCAGTCTCGTCACCAGAAGATATGCTTGTCCACCCAGCAGCTCCTGAAAAGAATAGGCTTGCTTGGGAAACTATGGGGTAAGATTGCCCTATCAGACAGAGCCTTTGTGAGTTACCAACCCATGGCACAAACAACAGCAGTTAAAGATGGGCAAAACGAACGACCCACAGATGCTCTCAGGATAATAAGGAAGATCCTAGCGAAATAGACTGACACAGTGACTGTCGCAATGGCCTTGAGTATTGTGGAGATTGTTAGGCTGCACAGAATAGGACAAGGTTCTAAGCCATTGTTCATAAGGTCACTAGGAATCTTAGTAGACCTGGTAGATATTCACATATATTGATCTGGGAAACAAGTAGTAAGATTTGAATTGAAGCATCAGCCAAAGAATGAATAAGTAGGTTGATTTAGTATCTGTTCTATTCTATAATGGTAAAAGTTAATACACCAGAAGAGTTTAATGTGAGTAGTCATTGTTGTTGTTGTGTACTGTGGAGTTAGAGCTGACCCCTAACTGACCCTTTGAAGGGTTTTCAGAGACAGTTAATCAAACAGGAAGAGATTGCCCATCCTTCTCCTGCAGAGAGGCTGCTGAATTGAAACCATGTGTCTTCAGGATTGCAGTGCAGCTTCTTGCCACTATGCCACCAGTGCTCCCTCATGTGAGTAGAGAAGACTATGATAGCATCATTACACATTGTTGATGGATGTGTACATAAATAATAACAAAAGTGAAATTGGGAATAATAGTTACCTCTGAGAGAAAGGATTTTACTAAATCATGTTCATTGCTCATGTGCTCTCTACATTTTGGTATGCCAGAAACATTACATAAACCTATATATTCATATCTAAAATATGAAATGAGAATACAGAAGAACTCTTCTTACTGATGGCACTTTATAGTTTGCTTCTAAAAAGAGAAAATGTGAAAGAGGAGGGGACTGTCAATCCACTCAAAAACACATGATCCCGTTATTCACCACTGCAAGAACATGAAAACAGCCCAAGTGTTCAACCACAACTCAATGGATTGAGAAAGTGTGGTACCTTCACAAAATGGACTATGCAGCAATCAGGAGGAACAATTTCAAAAAATACTACAAAACTTACAAGAGACTTTAAAGCATTATGCTGAGTGAACTAACTCAGTCTCAGAAGGACAAATGCTGCATAAGACCATTATTTTAAAAATAGATGGATAAGTAGTAAAACATTTATGGGGATTCAGTGTGTAAGAAGTGGGAACAGAGGGGTGAGACCACAGGGTTACACAGTTTCATGTGTGGAGGGAGGGGGTGAAGGAAATGGGAAGGGTCTGGCAGGGACCTGAAAGGATTGGGTAATGATGGGTAAGGTCCAGTGGTGATTGATTTGATAAAACATTATGTATGAAATGATTGTATGAAAAATAATATGGATGAAGAACAGTGTGAAACACAATGTATATTGTATGAACTTTGTGACTAAACCAGTATGAAATAAAAACAAAACCACATGATCCAATTTATAGACACCAACAGATCAGCCATCATTTGGAGGCCCTAGTGTCTTTTCATCACAAGGGTTGGTATAACAGTTATATTACCAGTGATTCTCAAAACAGTGTTTTCCAAACTGATTCTCCTATAGTGTCCATCTCTGCCAGTATGGTATGATCCCAAGAACAGATGGAGCCATCGGCCAGCAGGGTACAAGCCAAAAGCTTAATATTAAAACCCTAGAAGCAAGAACATGAGATTTCATCTCACTTGCTTTGAACATGGCATCAGAACGAAACAGTGCCTGGAGATAAAACAGCATGCTAGGTACAGTAGAAAGTCAACAAAAACAAAGAAAGAAGATCCTCAATGATAGGGATTAAAACAGTTGCTACAACGATAGGCTCAAACATAACAACAACTGGAAGGATGGCATAGGACCAGTTAACATTTCATTCTATTATACATAAAGTCACCATGAATCAGATCAACTCAGTGACAGCTAATAACAAATAATTGAAGGACAAAATTTAAAGTTCTTATTAGACCATTTCCCATCTTGCTTCAATTATAACAATAGAAGAATGTGACCATGACTATAAAATTTACTTTGAGTTTACTGGGGGGGGAAAAAAGTGGAGTTTTTTTCCAAAGGATAAAACATAAAATTATCTGTTAAATGTTTAAAATGTGCTCACAGTGAAGTTGTTAGAGGAATATATTTGAACTACACATATTGGGTTGTTCTTTTTAAGTTTGAAGACATAAAAGTGAAAAAAAGAACTTCATTCTAATTTTACATTTTCTTTTGTGTTTTGACAGCACCTAACAACAATAAGTTCATAACAACAACATCCTGAAAATTATCCTGCAACACTGAAGCAAATTAGAATTCTTTTCCTCACTGCCTTTGATAATCTGAATACTCTAGACAGCAGAGAGGACAGCAACTCTTAGCTATTTTTCTTCTCATTTTCGGGAGGGGGTGGGGATTTAACTTTGTCTGAAGCTAGTGGTGAGGTGAAGGTAACGTTGATAAAACTGACTCCACACACACCCCCGCCAGACCTCTCATTTATCAATAGGTAACTGAAGTAAATACAAATCTCTCTAGACTTAAATAATGTAATGTCAAATTTCACATCATCACATGCCTCAGCTCTCTGTGTACACTGAGGCCACACAGGCAGCAATAGATCTAAAAATGGGGACACCATAGAACAAGGCCATTAAAAAGTGTGAGGAGATGAGTGGTTTGCTGCTGTTGTTTTTAGAACAAGTTCAATAAGTTATGGTGTCCTTATCAAACTGTCACTACCAACTTTTGTGATAGAATCTGACGTGTGAGGTACATAAACCTGCTCTATGGAATCAGTGTGGCCTGCATGGAAAAGGTTAGATAAAGGCAGAATATTGCCCAAGCATACTGTTTAATCTTGGTGATAACAAAAAAGAAAACGGAGGTGTGAAGTGAGTCACCATTGAGGGTTGTCTCAGTACAAGTGATTTGTGTGTACGAGGTGTAGAGAAGTTAAGAGGGGTGACATTCTTCAACACTGCCATTCACAAAGAAAGCCAGGTCTGGTTTCTCTATGGGTTTGACTCTATTCCAATGAATAAATAGCTTATCAAGTGGTGCCATTTCTCCTTACTAGAAAGCAGACAGTTTTCCTGTCACCTGTATATTATCTTCTTTCTTCTTTTAGCTTTTAATGAAAAGAAGCATATAACTATTTTAGACAAGTCCTTTCTAATAAAATATGATGGAATTTGAATTCCTAGAGTAAAAATAAAACAC